AAAAAAATATAAAACGAATAACATTACTTATAAAAATAAGATACGCATTTAGTGACGAGCAGCATAGAGAGTTAAACACGAGAGAGGTGTCGGTTTACGAGTCCTATAATGAATTTAGGCCCAAAAATATCGGCCCAGCCCAGCCCACCCGTGTGGGAACCCCCTTGTCTTCGCACTCGAGTCGTCTTTAATCCATCATATTTTAGACTGAATTCATGACCGCGCGATGCGACGGGGCGAAAATTTTATCATTTAATTAACAAATACATATAAAAAGGGGCAAGTAAAAGAGACTATGAATTTCCGTAGTGTACCAAGTTAGTATAAATGTACTCCAACATGACCAGGTCAAAAGGAGATCCCTTCACTCTCAATATGGTTTATCAAAAGTAGTGTCTTATTTCTTCAAGCCAAATATGTAGGACAACACCAATCACAACTACAAATACTAACAACTGTGCAAAAGAATTATAAAAACACTCATGTACCATATAAGAACAAACCTCACAATTGGTCTTAAGAATTGTTTTCCAAAAAGACCCATTACAACACAATCTGAAAGAAAACAAAACATGAATAATATCAAGGAAACTACATTTTCTCTGTTAAGTAAAATCCATGGCAGGTAATGAACAAAATACAAAGTTCTCAGCTTTAATTTAATTATTATCAAATATTGAGGGAAATTAACAACTACCCAGAAATGTTTGCTCAAAATTAATTGATAATATGAATAATTTAATTACATAACATTTACAAAACCCAAAGTTCTTAAGCTTAATTTGATCTTACCATTTAAGTGGAAGAAGTAAAAAATTACACATAAATGTTTGCACACAATTAATTGATGAAACAACCAATTGGGCAATCAAAAATTTCAGATGAAGAAATCATACCGATGGGTTTCCATTAATTTTAATATCAAAGTTTAACTTTTTGAGTCACTTGCTCCAAATCGTTCTCCTGCCAAAAACATAAACAAACCCCCAAAATAAGGAGCTCTGTTGGTTCCCAAATATTAACAATTGTTTCACATGTACCTTTCATGAAACAGGTGGTGATTGCTGCTGCTAAGCAGGATTGAAGATTGAGTATCTGATTATTATAGGAATTAGATAGGAATTAGAAGTCATCTTCCAGACAAAATCAAATACACAGGGATAGGCAATCAAACTAATGGTGCAGTGAAGGCAATAAAACGACCTACTACTCCCTCCCTCTCTCTCTGTGCAAAGGCAGCATGGCTCTCATTCACCAAACCCTCATCGAACGACAGCCACCTAGACCCATCCCAATCCATCCCCAAACCATAGGACAAAATTAACCTTCCTAACTTAGCATCCTGACCGCTTCGGATCTAAAAACTTTTGGCACAGAGAGTGCACATGCATAATTAAAATTCACAGATCTAGTGCATGCAAGCGTACATTAGTAAAGGGAGCCAGAGATTATTACATTTTACCTTGGGTCCGAGATACTTAAGTCGTGTGCTCTCCATTTTCCAAACGGACTTGAGTGTTGCAGTAGCATCCTGGAAAGAAATCACGGATACATTAGCTGGCACAGAGAATAGACATATTTTTTTGTTTCAGACCGCAGATCCAAGAACCACACTTATTTCACCGATTCTTGATTATGGACAGAAAAGCGAAGCAAGGGATTGGATGTTTACCTTTGGAATTTTTGTACTCTCTAATGAAAGAGTGGGAACCCAGAATGAAAAACAAACCAAAGGGGAAAAAAATAAAAAGACGCCCAGAAAATCCCCCAACCGATTAAAAAAAAAAAAAACCAAAAACCATGATGCCTCACCTAACAAAACAGTACAAAAAGATTTGGAAAATTTTTTTTGGGCTTTTCAATCACCACATTCACGCAGATATAAATGCAAGAAACAATAAAAAAAAAAAGATTTTAGTACAAAATGTAATTGAAAAAGACACTTATCTGAGCATGCAATAGAGTATGGACGATGAAGAGTGAATCCTGGACTAAGGGACCATACTCGCGCCTGTTCACCATCACCCCTCTCTCTGTGTTTCTCTCCCTGAAATCCCGATGATCCCCCTCTTTCACCGTCACACTCTCACTCACTGAATCAAAGATCGACACTGACATCCTCTCTCTCTCTCTCTCTCTCTCTCTCTCTCACAGAAACAAACTAAATGAACAAAGTCCCTAACCCATCCCAATCCGTCCGAAACCCTACGGACAAAATTACCATCCAACCCCCTCTCATATCACCTGACGGCAAGATCTGAACCCTTGATGGGGTAGTGTGGTCATTTTGACTCCCACACTGTAGTGATCCCCTGCAAAAGAAACCGGCAAACAGAGAAAAAAGAACAAACGATGAGCAATAAAACTCACAGACCATAATACACAAAATTCCCTATAACGTAAATTGATAAAGCATTTTACCCAATCCAATTGAATTCCTGATCACAACACATAAGATAAACTAATAAACCATTTTATCCAAACAACCATTTAATTTAAAACATTTAAAACCGAAGAGAACCAAACGCGCATATTTGGGAAAAAATGGAGTGTTTTGAGTATCTAAATCTCACCCTCAACACTTTAAAAAAACAGCGGTCCCAATGGAAAGAGAACTTGCAAAACGGCGTCCCAGCACAAACACAACATATAAAACAAACAAACAAAGACAAAAACAAAAATTTAAAAACCGATAAAATTCAAAAATCCTAGGATACAAAATTGCAAACGACATAAAAATTAGTAATAAAAATTATGAAAAAACAGACACGGCTTGAGACCAAATGCTTGATGCCAATGACGACCCCAAAGGCAAGAAAAATCCCAAACCAGTTAAGAAAAAATTAAGAGTCCATTCCTCTGTCATATTCTTTTCCCCTGTTTTGTTACCCCTAATCCCAAATGTGTCTTCGATGCTCTTTATCCCCTTTTTCTCTCACCCTAATATCTCACCTGCAAAATCTTAACGCTGCTGCCTTCCCCCACCAACAAACCCTCAACACCCTGTAATGCTATTTTCTTCCAAATTTATAACAAAAATATGCATGCATAAACACAGTAGAAATTTGCAAAAACCCACAACACAACCTGACTAAAAATCTCATGGATTAAAAGTTTCACCCAAAAGAATCCCCCATCTCTCTTATCAAATGAAAACTCCAAAAGCAATTCAATGGTTGATAACAACCCATTTAAAATTGAACCCAAAAAAAGTAAAAGCTTCTCTCACATTGATTAGTCGTTCATTCTGCACCTGCATTTTACTAATTCTACGTTAAGAGTTCTATGTACAACTCAAAAAAGCAGATTTTAACAACTAAAAGGACGGACAGTAACACCATATGACCGTGTTATGATAAAAAATGATAAATAAAGATTCGCTAAAAAAGCAGAGCGTAAAAAAACTCCCAAAAACAAAGATCAGGATCTCTTCATCCGAATTATAAGTATTGTATATAAGTCTTCAAATACAGGACTAATGTGTTATAAGTATGGTGTGTGAAAAGTATTTACATAACGTTGTTCCAAATCAATATTTGGACAGAATAAAGTATTTACATAACGTTGTTCCAAATCAATAGTTGGACAGAATAACATGAAAAACTATCTAGCAACACAATCTATCAAGAGATGTAAGTTCTCTGTATACATATATATTTATATCAACTTGTCATATTTAATAAACTAAAAGCATGACAATAAGGGAACCTTGGCTGCCATAAGTCATATCCGGCAGCTGCTTCAGCCACCCCACTGGAATTCAGGGTTGAGTGCATTTCATTCGAAAATCCATCACCATGAAAAATGAAAACAAAAAATCAATTCAAATCCAACATATCCAACAACCCAAATATTATAATAACCTAATCAGACAATAAACAATTAGAGATGAAGCTCAATTACCATAAAGAAATGAGGGGTTGTCTGGTAGAAGCTAGTTGAAGCTTCATCAAATATATAGAGGATGATCAAACAATCAGAGACTAATCTCAATTACCTTTCCCGTTCCTGGAAAATCACTTCCAGGTCCACTATGAAATATTAGAAGGTCCGTAAACTCATAAGGCTAATATAGTAAATTAAGTTTCCTTCTATCCCTTGCAACGCAAAAAAGAAAGCCCCTCCTTTTCATAATCCCATACAGGGTGAGGTTAACACTTGCAGAGAGGGAAAATGGCTTATCACTTATGCCATATCTATTGTCTAACATACCTTGAACTGCCAACTCCACCATTCCCTAGGCTAGCAGATGCCATACCGACGTCTGATCACTTCACTACTGCAACACAGCAGATGATGGTACTACTTCCCCTCCTCGCACCACTCCCTGCTCCTACATCCACTCCCATCCAAGCACCTATCTTTCTATTAAACAAGATAAAAATAAAAATAAAAATTCAAATTCAAATTTCTTTCCACAAAAGCATTAATTAAAATTAAAATTCATAACACATAGAAATTGAGCTGAAATTGCTGAAACAAAATTCAAATGAAAAATTTTAAAAATTGCAGAGTCAGTTAATTACTTAATTTAGCTCGGATCCACACCAAACTCACTCCAATTTTTTAAATTAAGCACCAAATACAAATACAAATTTTAAAACCACCGCCGATCCTCTGAAATCAATCGGACTCCAACAAAACAATTAATTTTCCGCATTTTCAAACGCAATACATCCAAAATTCAGAAATCGGTTCGGACGACTGACCTGCAAGCGTTTCAGGGAGGCCTGAAAGCAGAGCTCGCGCATTTTAAATTCCGCTCCGCTCCTGGAATTTTTTAGATTTGACCAGAAAATTTGGGAAGGAGAGAGGGAAAATTCAATCTACTTCAGGATCAAACACTAAACTACGAAACTTTACCTTTTCCCTTCTCAAATCTGACATCTTCGAGAGCTCCGCCCTACTTTTGATGGTCGTATCTGAGTTCATTTGTGGGTGTCGGCGACTTGCAAGGACGGTGGATCCACGATATGGAGGTTGGTTCGTGGGCAGGAGGAAAATTCGATATGGGTTCGTGTGGAGGTGCATCAGTGATTGTTCAACGGATTTAACTGAGATGATGAAGAGGAATGGGGTGAGCAGCGCTGGGGCTAGGTTGAGAGAAATGGAGAGAGAAGTCTCTCGAATTTGATAGGAAATGAGAGAGAAACGGTGCTAGGGTTGTAGGAAATGAGCTCAGAGTGAGAAAAGGGAAAGACGGAGGATTTGATGGATGGTTATCGAGAGTCGGGAGAGAGCAGGGAGAGAAAGAGGGAAAGAAAAGGCGGTGGCAATTTTGTAAATAAAGTGAAATTCGGCTCAAATCTAAGGACACAATTACCCCCTAACTTTTAAGAATTACCTTCCCAACCCATCCCAAATCTGATGGTTTTTTTGTAGATAGCGTGAAATCGAGGGGCAAACAATTGTCCATGAACAGTGCCAATTCCCCTCCAACTTTAGTTCTCGTTCTCTTCTCTTCCCCCTCTACTTCTTCTGTAATGTTTCTTCGGCTGGTTGGTTTTCTGCTTCATTATTTTCTTCAATTAAAGAGGTTTGTGTAATTCAATTTATTTATCACTTCTTTTTTAATTTGCTAATACTATTAGGTAATAACTGGCTTCTTTTATCATGGATTTTCTTTTCAGGGGGTTCTCGCTAATCTTATAGTGGTGCATTTTGTTCTTCTCCTTATCAATAAGGTTTAGAGTTTTTCAATCTATAGTATGTTGGTAATTTTGAACTAGAAAGAAGATGGCAAATTGTTTTGATGTTCGTACAAATTGTTTTGTTGAAATTTCAATTCCTTTAGTTATTAAATCACATGAAATAGATGTTTGCACTTTCAACTCTGCAATTATGTTAAAAAAATTCGGTTTGTAATGCAGCCCTAGAACTATAATTCCATTGGAATATGGAACCCGAGTCTCGAAAAGTTGGAGATCATGGTGAGTTTTTGCTATATAGGCCGTTTGATTTTTGATTGACAATTTTAAGGCTTTATTTGTGTTGATCTAGACCCAAGACCTCATATGCTGATGGAATTTTCACAACTTTTCAGCTCACAAATTCATCGATGATAAGTACAGTGTTGAAGCCAGCGAAAATCAAGCCAATGAGGCACTAGTATGACACTGCAACTCTGCCTTAGTTTCAACTTTTTCTGGGGACAGTTTATTTGGAATTTTGGAGGAATAGAATGTACACTAATTATTGTTAATATCTTTCCACTTAGCGTTTGCCTATTACAGAGGCAGCACCAATATACGAGCAGCTTTTAACGGTGTTTCCCACTGCGGTGAGTTCCTTCTAATCGCTGTATATCTGGACAGATAATTAACTTTTTATCTTGTGGCTTTGTCTTTTTAGATCATTCCATTCTTCAGTGCAATTCCATTTCTACTTGGATAATAGTACAATACGGATGTTGAATAAGTCATGAAAACTCTATATTGTCTATAACAGTTTCACTTCAAAACATTGGCAAAGTCTTAGAATTCTAGATCGATTACTCCCCTTTAAACTGTTTTATTTAGCTTATGTTGAGCGTTTAAAGTATCACTGGACACAGGGCACAGAAGTGTGCCATATTATTAACATTTGGAGATGCAATTTGTCTCTCTCATATCTGGAAAATTTTCTTTGTATTTGATTGATTTACATATATTTATTTTCTTTCCAGGCAAAATATTGGAAGCAATATGTGGAGGCGCAAATGGCTGTAAATAATGATGATGCCACAAAACAGATATTTAGCCGGTGTCTGTTGAATTGTCTGCAAATTCCTCTTTGGTATATTGCGGTCTACAGCCAAAATGCTGTCAGCAATATCTTGGTTGCTTTTAGTTGAAGTTTACCTAATTTCATAGATAAGCGATTTATAGGAAACTATTTTATTGATTACTTTTTTTGGTGATTCAATATTATGATGTCATATGCTTGGTTTCTGAATAGGGAATCGAGGTCAAATTATTTTTATATTTTTTGTTGATATAGTCAGATGTGACAAGCAATTACCATGATTCTAACATTTGGATTATTTATTTCTTGAACCCACCCCATCATCCATTCAAAAGAACAGAAATAACCATGTTTTCATGTTTTCTTCTAAAACTTCATTCCTTCATACGATCTTTTCCTAACAACTTATCCAATTTTTTCCATATTTGGACATGTCTTTCTCCTATTATTTATTTAAAGTTCTCCATTGTCTTGCTTGTATTGGCTTTGTAGGCGATGCTACATTCGTTTCATCAGAAAGGTCAATGACAAGAATGGGGTAGAGGGTCAGGAAGAGACTAGAAAAGCTTTTGATTTTATGCTCAGTTATGTTGGTATGTTCTTTTAACTTTATTTAATAATTTACACACTTCAAGTTTTGATAGGTTATCTCTCACCTGTAGGTAAAGAAAAAATATTACTGAAGTGTTTCATCTTGATCTGCTATATGATGAGAAATAAAGGGACTGTAAAGGATAACTTCAAAATTGAAACAGAAACACACACACACAAGCAGCTGCTAGACGAGTGGGATCTCATGTTTGGGAATCCTTTTCTGTGCGAATGATTGGCAATCATTTTTTGAAATATCCTCTTCTGGGCTTAGGGTTTATGGTTTAAGCTCTATGGTTGAGGGCATTTAGACCCTAAAACCTAGGTTCTGAAGATAGTAGCTTTAGGGTTAGTAGCTTTAGGAAATAAACCATCTCGTAATTGGTGAAAAATGTAGAACAAAAATGAAGTTCCTTCGAATGACAAGGTTTTCCGTTTGAATGGTGTGGTTTTAAACATGAGGAGATGGGTGCTAAGCTGACATGTTGATACATTCAAACAAGTTTGGAAGTTTCAGACATTACAGTCCATGACAAGTTTTTTAGATTTGATTCTTTTACCAATTTTTGAAGGGTCTAATTTTTTTCACATTAATACGTAAGGTTATATTTTATCTGACATAGTTATGATATGTTATGAAATATTTTGTTTCTAAAACCGAGGAATGTATTTTTTAACTAAGCATTTACTACTTATACTTGCATTATATAATATATTAGTCCATTTAGTGAATTGAAACATGCTCTTAATTCAGTGTGGTTGAATGTGTTTTGTTTTTATTTTTTGCATGTGCTACCAGGAGCAGATATAGCATCTGGGCCTGTGTGGATGGAGTACCTCACCTTTTTAAAGTCTTTGCCGGTCTGTTATTTCTTCCTTTATGTTTTCTTTTAATATGAATTCTAATGGATACAAACAGAAAAAAGGATATCGTCTACTTCAGACAATAGAGCAAGTGTTGATTTTTATCCAGCAATGTTTGACCGAGATTTTGTTAGGGGTGATCTTCGAAGCATAACTCAGGAAGTTACTAAGAGTTTTGAGAGAATACTGGAAAGTAACTGAACAATCGGTACCGAGATCTGGTAAATTCACTGGTTTGATCAAGTGGCTCTGGTACCACTTGATGTAAATAGAAGAAGAAGAGAGTCAGTTATTTTCTGCAGCGGACCAGGGAATTTACACCAATTGTTGTATCAAAAAATTAAAGCTGCAATCTAAGAAAGACCTTAATTGTGGATTTGAGTGTTTACTTATGAGAATTGAATATCACAAGATGTTGTTCCATTTGCTACATCTCATACTAAAACTAATTAACCAGAATTTGCAGCCCTATTTTTTAAGGTAGCATTGGCATTGCCAATTTACCATGCCCCTTCACACCACACCACTGACTTTTCCCATACCCATTACGAGGGAATGCTCTAAACTCCAACCCTAGCCTGTCTCTACCAGTCCATGGTATTTCCATGGCCTTGTCTTGCTGCCATGGACATTTTTGCAAGGTTTTTGAATTTTCGGAAGTTTTTTTTTAGTTACAAATAATTTTATATGGGGATAATTTGAATTAAGTAAAGGCGGGTGGGGAGAAGAAGATGGGGGTCGCATAGGCTGCTTGTATTTTTGTTGCATGCCTCAGAAACTGTGTAGCTGTTGTTGATTGTTTTTTCATGTCAAGGGAAGTTATTTTCAAAACGTGTTGTTGCAGGCTTTAAACACACAGGAAGAGTCACAGCGCATGACTGCTGTGCGAAAAGTATACCAGAAAGCCATTGTTACTCCTACCCATCACATCGAACAACTCTGGAAGGATTATGAAAATTTTGAAAATTCTGTCAGCCGTCAACTGGTAACATTTTAGTTCTGGAATGCAAACTTAAAATAAACCAGTATAAAACATATATGTACAGACTGTCTCAGTAAGTGCATTAGTTTTTTTTATCTTAGTAATGAAATACACCTAAAAGATTGTCAATCTGATGTTATTACATTAAGCAGGCAAAAGGACTGTTATCTGAATATCAACCCAAATTTAACAGCGCCAGGGCCGTTTATAGGGAGCGGAAGAAGTATGTTGATGAAATTGACTGGAATATGCTTGCTGTACCACCAAATGGCTCTTATAAGGTAATTTTGCATCTTATTGTGCTGTACTCTGGTTTGTTGGCTCGCAGATGTTTACGTTATATTTTATCTTAGCTGGTTTCTGTTATCCAAACATGCAATCAAGGTTGCTTCCCCTTGCTTTGGAAACAAAAAATTTACTTGAAATTAAATGTTCATTCCCCCCTGCATGGATTCCACCTATTTAATTTCGGGTTAATCTGAGCATCGACCCATGGTATATGATTTTGTCTTGATTTTCTAGGTATATTATAATATATGCACTCTTTGACATTTACCGACTTGCCTGTATAAATGGGTTGCATGGGAACAAGGACATATTTGGTTTGCAGTAAGGTTCCTTGTATGAGAGAGATTGGAAGTTCTTCCCACATATTTTGTAATGGAAAATGCTAATCATGTATTGCTCTTACAGGAAGAACTACAATGGATGGCATGGAAAAAGTTATTAGCTTTCGAAAAGTATGTTACTGCCATCCTTTCTTTTGCTTTAGTGGTTATGCATTTATAGACTATGAATTTACCTTTTGCTTAACCTGATTTAGTGGTTATGCATTTATAGCTTTCGAAAAGTAAGTTACTGCCATACGTTCTTTTTCTTTAGTGGTTATGCATTTATAGACTATGAATTTACTGGGGTTTCATAACCTTATTTAGTGGTTGTGCATTTATAGCTTTGAATTTACTGGGGTTGCACAACCTTCCTGCTTAATTTATTTATCTGCAATTATTTGGCATATGAACTTAAGAATGAGATGCTTGTAGGGAT